GTGGGGTCGGGGGGCCGGGCGCGCCCCCTCTTGGCCGTGGCAGCCTCCTCCCCAGCGCCCACAGGACCCTGGGAGCCCCTGGGGTATTTCTTGGCCTCCTGGGGAATGACTCCTCTCGATCCTAGGGCGCCTGGGCCAGACGGCTGGCCGGCTGAGGCAGGCTGCTTTTCCTGCCATGTTTTGAGGGTAGGCAAGAATGAGGAAAAAGGGGGGAGGGGGGAAGCAACACCCACCTTCTCAAACAGATAAAGCTGCACTCCACGAGACAGGAACGCTGAGCCTCTCAGAACGTAGGCGGGAGAGCAGTTCGACAGAGAAGTCATCCTTCTTTTTTCCTCTCGAGGGACATGGGTCTCTGTGCCCAAGCTGGAAATCTGGACCAAGGGTTTTCAGACCTCCTCCTCTTGCAAGTGTCCTGGGGCAGAAACCGTTACGCTCACCAAATACGCCAGGTGCTCCCCTGCACGTCCGGGCTGTGCCATGTGAGTGGCTTGGGCCAGTGAAACGGAGCCGAAATGATGGGTGTCATTGGCAGGCCCGGGCAGTGAAAAGCCCATGGCCCATTCCGCAGGCTCTCTTTCCCGGCCACTGGGACTGCGGAAGCCGTATGTTCCAGATGGCATGGCTACAAGACGGAGCTTCCATCCGCCTGCGTCCCTGAGTGAGTCTGTGGGGCAGACCCACCTGCTGGCCTGCTGGCACATACGGGCCGAACAAGAAAGAAACTTCTATTGTGTTTGGCCACTGGGACCCAGGGGTTGATTGCTCCTGCAGCGTCGCCGGGCATACCCCGACGGGTTCAAGCTCCCGGCACGCTCTGGTACAGTTGACCGTGTTGTTGACTGGGAGAGACCAGCATGCAGGAGGCTCAGGCCAGCAGCCTTCACCCAAAGGAGGGCTTATGAGGGCATATTCAGGGGCCCCTATCCCACCAAAGATTTGGGGGCCTTCCTTGCAGCTTGGGCCTGGGTCTATGCCTTCCTTTGAAGGTCTGCACAGCACTTGGTTGAACACGCGCGCCTCTCTCACACCCCGGAGCGTCTAACGGGGCGTGAAGTACCCTCACTGGCGATCCCCCATGAGGCGAACGAGAGAGTCCTAACTCCGATTTTAAAGATGAGGACACCGGCGCTCAGAAGGATCCAACGTGCTGCTGAGGTTGCACAGCTAATTGAAGAACTTAACCGAGGTCTTGTGTCTCTCACCACAATACCAGTATTTCTCAAAGTGCAGCTCTCAGACTCTGAGACGGGGCCCGGGAAACCGCGTTTTCAAAGTTCCTGGGGCAGTAATTACACCAAGTGTGAGAACCCTGGCGCCGCACCAGCCTGCCTCTCCCATCAGATGAAGTCAGCGCCGGGAGGCGGGGGGGATTTGAGGGTGCAGCAGAGGACCACCTCCCCAGCGAAAACCACAACTGCTCTGTGTGAATTTCTCCCCAGAGAGCCATTTCTTTGGGTTAAAATACAAATAGTCCTGGAAACACTTGAGACCTTCTTATGAATTAACTCAGGTTTCCCCCTGCCCCGCCCTGGCTAGGAACCATTGCTTGTAAGAAGTCGCTCTATGGGGCGCCTGGGTGGCCGAGTCGGTTAAGCGTCCGACTTCAGCCCAGGTCGTGATCTCATGGTCCGTGAGTTCAAGCCCCACGTCTGGCTCTTTGCTGACAGCTCGGAGCCTGGAGCCTGCTTTGGATTCTGTGTCTCCCTCTCTCTCTGCCTCTCCCCCCCTCGTGCTCTCTCTCTCTCTCTCTCTCTTTCTCAAATAAACATTAAAAAAAAAGAAGTTACTCTGCGAGGTAAGTTTCCGCAGGGAAAACACTAGTCAAGAGTCAAGCCCTCGCCCTGAGAGCTGAAATCCAGCTGGAGACTGCAGGGGGTGACGTCCTGGAGTCAGGAAGGGGCTGAGCATCCTAGGGGGTGGGGGGAAGTGCTCCAAGAAGAAAAAAATACAGCCAGGGGAGGTGGCTGAAACCTCACACATGAGAAAGAACCAGAGTAAAGCCTCAGCCTTACGTACTACCTGTGTGAACTTGCAAAACGTCCTTCATCTCCCCAAGCTTCAAGGTCTCGTCTGTGAAACGGAACTCGTCACAGAATCCACCTGTGGTCAGGCTGCTGTTAAGCATCCAGTGCGTTTGGGTGTACAACGGTGGACATTTAATGATCCCTCACCACACGCCAGAGGCCCTCCTGAGTGCTTTACACACATTAACTCAATCGTCATGACTACCTGACGACATGGTTATTGTTTTACCCGTCTCGTAAGGGAGGGAACGGAGGCACAGAGAGGTAAAGTAACTTGCCCAAGGCTGCAGAGCTGGCTCGTCGGTGCCAGAGCCAACAGCTGACTGTGGATGCGTCTCCTAGGGAGGGCTACAGCGGGAGGAGGGCCACGGGGGAGCCTGTCGAAAGCTGGGGCTCAGGGCAGGGCTCCTGTTGCCCAGGTCCGAGTTCAGGTTGAACGGCAGCCGTAACGATTAAGATCACTACTGAGCCGAAGGGTGGAGGAGAACTCTACCTGTTCTCTCCTTCATCCCCAGATACTAACCCTCCTCCGTGCCCAGAGGAAGACACTGGGTGCTGCCTCCCAGAGCCTAGAGACCCCGGGGTAGCCTCAGCCCCCTCTGCCCCACCCCCCCACACACAATGGGTACCCGTATCTTGGTCGGTTGGTTGTCTCCTTTGCTTTCTTGGTGCATCCTTAAATAAACTGCAGGGTTTCAAAGAGAAAAGGGAACCGGAATTTATTGAGCAGTTATGATGGGCAAGACTCCTTATCCAGCAAATCCACGTGTCTCACGGGGCCTCACAAATTTGTGAAAAAGATCTTACTGTCTCCACTTTACAGGTGAGGAAACCAGGCCTAGGGAGGCTGGATTACTTGCAGCAAACCAGGGGCGTGGTGACACTGAGGACCTTTGTCTGAATCCAAAGCCACTCAGGAGAAGGGAGGGCCAGCAGGAGCTCTGAGATCCAGCCCCCAAAGGTGAAGTTCCCTGTTCCTCGTTCGTTTCTCCCCGTGCTGAGCGTCTCTGAGTGGCTGCTTTATGCCAGGCACCCGATCAGTGACTGTGGCAACCTGGCCTCCGCTCCATTCTGTTCAGCAGGGATGTGGCTCTCTATGAATCGTGAACCCGGAGATGTTTCTGTCCTCCCTAGGCTCTGTGAGGACTGACCCTCGACCCAGAGGCTGCTTCCCAGACACAGGGGGATTCAGCCTCCTCCTGGGAGAATCCAAGCTCTGGGTGTTTCAGGAAATGTCTGACCTGCCAGGTTTCCGTGTGACTGATCAGTTAGAGCCGAGGAAGGGGGGCCAGAGGGGAGGTTTCCCGTCAGCCCAGCTTTTGTCTCTCACATGAGCCCGAGACAGACAAACCACAACCACAGACTCGACCAGCTGTGGAAGCATCGAACAGGAAACCCAGAACATCTGGTGCCCCACTTCCTCTGCAGGCTGTGCAAGTCTGGGTGTGTGTGTGTGTGTGTGTGTGTGTGTGTGTGTGTGTGTGTCTGCTGGTGTACAAGTCTGTTTGCTTTCCCACTGTTGTTTAGTGGGACGTGGATGCAGACAGGGCTGGAAACCACAGGCCTTGTGGTGACAGGGGAATCAGACACTCACTCCCCAACCCTTATGGTGCCTCCTCCCTCCCCAGACAGTGACCCAGGACGTGACCCAATCTCCCAGGCCACCCTCCAACACACCGGCACATGTTTAGCTTCAAGACACCATGCACTTGAAGAAAGGGATTTTTTTTTTTTTCCTTTTGGATTAGGTGGTTTTAGAGGAACTTTCTGGGGATGAGGTAGGAGGGTTCTGCCTAAATATAACCTTGCCTCAGCATACAGACCCACAGAGCGCAGAGTCTGGGTGAAAGCTGTTTTTAAAACAATTTGAGGAGAATCTGTGGACGACTTCTGAGGCTGTGTGCTGGTCAGGGGGCTGTTTTCCACCAGCGCCGGTGTCCTCTGTGGACAGCCTGAGGTAGACAGCGACTGAGAAGGGAAGAAACATAAGAAAAGAGAAATAAAGCCCCCTCCCCCAACTGTAGCATGAGGTTTAACTCTTATCAGTCACCTTTAGGAGGTAGGCATTATTATACCTATTTTTCGAAATCATGAAATCAAGATGCAGAGGGGATGTGAATTCACCCAGGATCACTCAGCAGAGCCCAGGCTCAAAATCAAATCTGACCTCTAGCCACATGCTAGATCCTAAATCAACTTCATTCTTTCGACGAACAGTAACAATCTAAACTGTGCCTCGCACACGGTTGATGGCCAACAAATGTTTCTTGAATTAATCAACGAAGGGAGTTCTCATTGCTGGCAGAGACTCTCATCATCACTGCATGCCCGGGGTCAGCACTGCGCGAGACAGAAGCGGCTGCTTCGTAAGTTTCACAACAGTGACACTTCATTTACCCGCAGCTCATCTACTTGGCCAGGTCGACCCTTTGCATCCTAGCTAACAATCTGAAAGAACCACGAGCAGTCAAGAGAAGTCCCAAGCCCTTGAAAGTTCAAATCCTGACTCGGAGAACTTCTGAGGCCCTCAGTCGGAGGGAGTCTGGTTACCCTTCCTTTACAACCAGAGCCTAAAACTTTGCTTGCTCATCTTACAAGCACCGGTCTGGAAAAGGAGATGGCCTGCTACGGAAACTCGCTGGCAAAAGCAATCTGGGAATTCAACTAGCATTTTCGGACTGGTAGGAGGCATTATGGATTCTATGAGGAATGCACCAGCAGACAAGAGGCCGACGAGAAGGGCCTGAATTGGTCTGATTCTCGGATCTGTGCCCTCCAGACAGCTCTGAGAGAGCCAGATGGGACAGCAGCACCTCCGATGGGTTCCCGGGAAAGACTGAGGGCGCAGCAGCGAGCCGCCCTCGACCGCACTCGCTCACGACTAGGTGTTTCGGAGCGACAGACGCCCCAACCTGAGACGACGCCCAGCCGCCTTCACATCTGCAGGTCGGCGGGGCCCTCCTCCGAGCCGGGATGACGTCACTCAAGCGGCGCGGGGGCGTGACGTCATCCGAGCGCGCCTCCCGCGGGGCCGACGCCCTGAGCGCAGACTGGCAAAGGCGTTGCTGTGGAGACGGTGCGTCGGGCACCGCCCCCGAGACGGGATTGGAGGAAGACAGGTCAGCTGCTTTGGTGCTGCTCCCAAAGAGCGCGGAGGCCTGGTGCGGCGCTCGCGGCGCGGGTTCCTATGGCAACCCGGACGCTGTCACGCGCCCTGGGGGCGGGCGATTCCCGGGAACCCCCAAAGCGAGAGTCAGAGCCCAGAGTGCAATTTGAGAGACTTTTTTCACCTAAGGTAGTAAACATCGGATGTGCCTCTGGCCCGAATAATGTAGAAATTCAAACTGCCCTAGACTGGATCCCGTGCAGGGCTGGAGGCCCCGTGAGGCTTAAATTTATCGCTGAAGCCGCGTCGGGTGAGAAGCAGAATCTGACCCAGGAGACTTAGCGCCAAGAGTGGCCAAACCTTTTTAGCCTCGGTTTCTCCTCAACGAGATCTTTCCCATAAGCATATAACATATATCATTTCTTCCTAAGAAAACCTTTTGATAACTCTACTTCTCCCTGTAGCTCCCAGCTCACCTGTCTCCTTTTTTTCCGAATATCGAAGCTCCTGAAAAGAATGTCTATATTCGCGTCTCTAGCTCTCTTCCCACTGTACCCTCTCCCGGCACGCTGTTTCTTCTTATCTGCTCTGTCAGCAACATTTGAAACAGTTATCACGCTCTCCTGCATCAGACACTTTATTCACTTAGCTGGTGGGACCGTACTCTCGGGTTTTTTTTGCAGCATCCCTGGCTCCTAGTTCCCCACCTCATTTGCTGGTTCCTCCTCTTTGCCCGGACCTCTAAATGTAGCAGTGCCCCCCTGGGACTGGCTCCTTGACCTTCTCTCTCTTTTCACTTAATATCTTAAGTGATTTCATTTAGTTTCATGACTTTAAAGACCGTCCCTTTTGGCTGATGAGAGCCTGGTCCTCTCCCCTGAACCTCCATACTTGGATATACAACGACCTAGTTAGCATCAAAACTTGAATGCCTAGTAGGCAAGCTCAAACTCATATTTAGAGCGAAATTCCTGGGCTTTCCCACCCAAAGCTGCTCTACCTGTGTTCTTTGTAACACAGCTTCTCAGGCTCCAAACCTTGAGTACCCTTCACCCCACATTCAACCTGTCCTATTGGTAAATCCTATTGGCTTTTTCTTCAAAAAGACTGACACCATCTTGGACCAAGCCCCCATCATCTCTCACACGGATTATTGTAATGGCCTCCTCACTGACCTCCTAGATTCAGCCTTCCGCCCTCTCCTCCTCAGCCTGGGTTCCCATGACAGCCTGAGTAATTCTGTTAAAAGTCACATCATGGGGCTCCTCTGTGAAGACCTTCCAAAGACTCCCTTCTCGCTGAGGGAAAGGCAAAGTTTTACCATGGCCAGAAATGTCCTGTACCACCAGGTTCCTGGAACCTGGCTGAGCCCCTCTCCTGATTGTGACTCCATTGCTCTCTTTACTCCAGCCACATGGGTCATTTTCCAGGCTTATTTGTTTCTGGGACACTGAACTTGCTTTTACCTCTGCAAGGAACTTGTCCTCAGATATCCCCAGGGCTCCCTCTCTCACCTCCTTCAAGGCTTGGCTCAAACATTCCTTATTCAGAAAGCCCTTCTGTAATCTCCTGATTTTATTTTTTTTTTCAACGTTTATTTTTGGGACAGAGAGAGACAGAGCATGAACGGGGGAGGGGCAGAGAGAGAGGGAGACACAGAATCGGAAACAGGCTCCAGGCTCTGAGCCATCAGCCCAGAGCCCGACGCGGGGCTCGAACTCACGGACCGCGAGATCGTGACCTGGCTGAAGTCGGACGCTTAACCGACTGCGCCACCCAGGCGCCCCTAACCTCCTGATTTTAAACGACTGGTCTGACTCCCCAGTCCCTCATTCTCACTGGGCTCCGTTGCGTTTATTGCCTTCCAATATACCGTATAATTTAATTATCTCATTTGATGTCCTGCTCCATGGGAAGGCAGCGATCTTGTCTCTCTTGTCATTGCTGGGTTCTCACTTCCTAGACAGAAGCTGGCATGTGAGAGGTGCTCAGTAAGTGTCTATTGAGTGAATAGATACATTTCAAAATTGGACAGTTAGGGACTGAGGAAAAGAGGAATGTAGTGGAGGAAACTGACAAACCCTACCTCAGCCAGGTGATTAAGATTCAAAAAAAAATTTTTTTTTAAATCAGAATGTCATGTAGTGGTTAAGAGCCAGAGCTATAGGGGGTTGGGGTTGTGACCTTTAGGAAATTTAACCTTTCTGAGCCTCAATATCCTCCTTTTTAATGTTGGCAAAACAATACTTCGGTTTCACCCAACGATGTGGAACCCCTCCTATATGAGCAGCAAGCACTGTGCTCGTGGCTGGAACATGCTGGAGAACCTGATTGCACAGGTGTCCTTGCTCCCCTGGAGTGCGGATCCTGAGGAAGGTGTACAGACAATAACCATATAATCATCCAAATAATGATTATTCACAAAGTGTGACAAGTGTGAAGGTGGAAAGCCATCTAGTGCTGAAGCAGGGGAGGGGTGGGGAAGAGCACCCCCGAGGGAATGACTTCTTAATTGTATTAGTCAGCTCAGGCTGCTATAACAAAATACCACGGGCTAGAGGGCTTAACCAACTCTATCCTGAGTCCTGGGAGATAGAAGTCCAAGATCGAGGTGTCGGCAAGTCAGACTGGATTAGGGCCCACCCTAATGGCCTCATTTAAACACAGTCACCTTGGGGCGCCTGGGTGGCGCAGTCGGTTAAGCGTCCGACTTCAGCCAGGTCACGATCTTGCGGTCCGTGAGTTCGAGCCCCGCGTCGGGCTCTGGGC